ATAAAAAAAAAAAAGTCTATTGGAATAACAGTGAAAATATTTTAAAGTTGTATTTAAATTTGTAGTTAAAACGACTTCTAACCTAAGCAACTTTTAAAAATTGCAGTTAAATAAAATGTATGCTAACCTAAACACCTCTAAAAAAAGTACTACCGACACTAAAATGAATCCAATAAAACACCTACTGAAAAAGGAAACTATAACGAAACGCTAGATGATGTAGGCCTGTGAACGACCCATGTCCTTTGTACATACTTATGAAACTTTATTACTTAGTTTATATATATTTAAAATAAATTAATTAATAAAGTTTACTAAATCTGAGAAATGAATGAGCTATTTTTCCAGTAAGTGCCATAAATATTACTTAAATAATATTTAAATATAAAAGTTTAAAAATCGTAATATACATATATTTTGATATGGAAAAATAATTTTACTTACTATAAGTAATTTCAAATACATTTCCTTCTGTTATAAAGTAATATAGTCTATTAAAAATAACAATGAAAATATTTTAAAGTTGTAATTAAAATTGTAGTTAAATAAAATGAATTCTAACCAAAACTTCTTGTACTTAGTACTACACGCTCTTAAAAGAATCCAATAAAACACCTATAGTAAAATAAAATTAATATGAAATGACAGAAGATGTAAGCTTTTGAATGACCCATGTCCTTTGTACTTACATGAGAAACAATATATTACTAGGTTTATATATATATAAAATAAAAGTTTACTAATCAGTAAATTAAGTAACTATTTTTGCCGTCATTGTCATAAATTTTACTTAAAAAAAAAAGAAACGAAAAATGAACCGTAATATACATACTTATACTTGATGTAAAAATAATCCTACGTAATATAAGGGATTCTAATACATTTAACTATTCATAAAAAAATATAGTATAATAAAAATTAAAAATGAGAATATTTCAAATCGTAATTAAAAAAAAAAGTATTCTAATCTCAACACCCTCTAAAATCTTTAAATTTACAAATAGGAAAAAAAATGTCATGAGAATTTTTTTGCCGTTAACAATAAATTTAAAAAAAATCCAGACGAAATGCATTCAACGGATGTCAGCTCTCATTGAAAAATACATCCCTACCCCTTACCAAAATGTTGCTAATAACCGATACAATGATACAGACATAAGGAAAACCCAGAAAACCCTTGTCCAATTGAAGTAGATTTATCTGTAACCATGGAAATGTGATTTTAGCTGTGTCTTTAAAACCCAGTAATTTTAAAAGTTACTCCAAAATTCGCTTGAGGATGAAATGGAACTAATGTCTTTAATTTAATTGCAAAATTAAATTCGTGGCTTTTTAGCTTCCATTTTTGAAACATGGTTAGAACTGTGTAGCGGAAAAAACATATTTTTTTAAATATATATATATATATATATATATATATATATATATATATATATATATATATATGTGTGTGTGTGTGTGTGTGTGAACGCGCGTGTATTTATTATATATATGTATGTATGTATATGACAAATTGCCAAAATGTTTTGTGACGAGTTTCCTACTTTTGTTCATCATCGGATGAAATGCGTCAAGAAACGCTTTCCAATTTCTCATTCATCTTGTATTTACAAATCCTTCTAGATATGTGAAGAAAATTAAATATATATATATATATATATATATATATATATATATATATATATATATATATATATTAGCAATTATTTATATATACTAGGGATCCGTGGAATTTCCACTGGGCGACTAATATAATGTTTAGCAGACAATAAACGTTTTATATATATATATATATATATATATATGTGTGTGTGTGTGTGTGTGTGTATGCATAAAATAAAACATTAAAGAAGGAGCAATTAAAATCTCTACATGTATAATGAAATTAGATACTTAGGCAGCAAATAATAAAATTGCGTATATTTGTACAGATATATTTACAAATACGTAAAGTTTAGATATGAAATCAAACATTTCTAATATACAATACTTAAAGGCTGGTAAAATAAACAACACATAGAGATACTTTGGAGTGTCCAAAGATTACCAATGCTAATTAATCCGTGGTACCCCACCCCACTCCTAACATACAGCCATGCCATTTTCCTCCAACATGCATAGATTTATATGTGTACAGAACTATATAAAACATGCCACATATTGTTTCCTCCACTGAATTTATTCATTTATATATATATATATATATATATATATGAGTATGCGTGCGTGTATATGTATGAATATATATAAACCAAGTGTCTTCAGAATATTCCTTATATCTGAGAGTTTGTTAGCTCTACACTATGTCACATATAATTGCAAATGATTAAACACTGGCTGACGTAAGAACAATCCCATGTTCTTAAATGTCTGCCCCTATGACTTGTTAATACTGACAGGATATGAGAAACGAACAGGATTCTCTCTAAGGTGAACGGCAAGTTAGAGTCGCTTCGAGTCAGCTTTATTATGTTTAAGAGGTCAAGCCTGCCAATAAGTGAGAGCACACACTCAATCAAATTACACGAGTGTGTGTGTGTCTTGTATGCGTGTGTGTGTTATTTTTGTGTGTGTGATAACGATATATATATATTTTT